AGGTTGATTGCAAATGTACAGCATGTTGATTTTTCGATTGGATGTGTACGGAATCAAAGCCCAACGCCCGCAACACAACTTTTTTTCCACTATAGCTGTCCTCGGACAGTTTGTCGACTAGCTCCGGTGTTTGGGCGCACACAGTGGATTGGGTTACCCACGCCATGGCGCCCGAGAAAGCTCGGTTTTCAGCCTAACTCACTCACCTGTTCATCAAGCTACTTCACCGGAGTGGCAAGTTATCGCGAAGTCAAACCACCGGTCAAACTGTTGGTCTAGCCGTTAGTCTACCCAACTGCATCATGTGGAATGTACTACTATTAAGTATAATGACCCGCGAACGAATAGGCTTTGCTTTTTCCTCAAGAATACCGTGGCACTTGCTTCCGACGCCTTGGGTTTGAGTTGGGAAAGCATTCGACTGCGCGTAAATTGACGTTCAGATCGGGGGACATTACGCAGTTACTATTATGTGAGCTCCTATCACCATTAAATACGGGCATGAAATGAGTCGCGGACGCGCAAGTACCAGTCGGAAAGAGATTAGTCACATCGATAATGGTTAGAAGGCGATACTAGCCGAATCGTCTAGTCCAATCTGGGAAGCACGCGAAGTGCGGCATCCTTGTCAAGGCAGGAGGTGCTGCTGATGTGAATAAAGCGTAATCACCACGTACAATTCACTCTCCATCTTAACTGGTGATTAGACTTCCAGAGGTTATCCTGAGTAGATTTCGGGACTCTTGTTTTCCTGAATATGCCAGTGATGTAGAAATGGATAAGCCAAAACAAGCTCACTGTCAAAAACAACATACTTGATAGTAAGTTGCTGTCAAGGTTGACAGATAGATATTAAGTAATTTGTGCCGATCACTTAGATGGAGACAACCGCTTTCTCACAAATCCCAGATGTACATATCGCCGTACCATGTCCTTACCTGAAGCCTGCTGTGTGTAGTAACCGTCTACTTTATACCGGTTATGCGATGTGTAATTTAGTCCGTACTACACAGTTATACTGAACATAGATTTATTCTGGTCGTTGGCTTGTTCGCTGAACGCACAACCACTAACCCACCGCTACGCACAACTACGCACTGATGATGTCACCTCGATTGGTGATGAAACGTTTGCAACCAAATTGCCCAGCTCAGCGAACAAGCCAACGACCATCTACGCCACCTGAGCTACCGACATTCTCCTCTATAGAAAGTAGATTTATTCTGACCAACACAGTACTTGTACGTGTCTATCTTGTACGTATCTATCTAACGTTCAAACCAGCTCAACCTATGTAGACATCTCAGAAACTTGAGGATAATCATCTATTCGCGATAACAATCAAATGACTTGAAGCAAAGTTGGCAGACCAGCTCCGAATGTAACGGGACTACATAACTGCCAATGGGACAACCGTTTTTCGTTTAAACAGATTTCGTTGGTTGTTCTTTACCCACCCTTGACAGATGAGCTGTATTCTTAGTATCGCTTTTGACCGCTTGTACACGACAGTGATCAATAAATTAGGCGGTTCGCACGTTCATTGGCTTTTCTGGTTTGGCCTAGCGCACCAGGCGATCAAGCGGCTACCTAGACCGGGGTTCACGGTAAGAAGAAGGGATTAAGGGACTGTGGTCTACAACAGTATGCTTGAAGAAGTTACCAAGGTAGAATCTGTTTGGCTGAAACGCAAGATATGCTCGTCCTATGAATTCACGAGTCGAAAAACGGAGTCTCGTGGCGTTAGTTTGAAATTGAATGCAAACGAACTGGCCAACTCTTAACACCAACTCTAGTGACTGCTATCCGGAATAACAAAGCGCTATGAAAAATACTGGTACAAATGATTGAAAATTCTCCCGTGGTAACGGAGATTTTAGCTCACCGCGCGCGGGGTTCACAGAGGTCATCAGGCCAGTCTGATGAAGTAAAGGGTTCAGTTTTCTGAAGCTTTTGCACACCCTTTGGAATATTCGTAAGTTCGCAGGTAACGGGCGGCGGGTTGGCAGCAAAAGGCACACTGGCAAAGGAAAAACGGTAGTCATCATATTCAACGGGTTTGTAGGCCACCAAAACGGCTTCATTGGCAGCCTCAGCTTTTCGACGCTCAACAAGGTCAAATGTTTCTGGATTACGTAAATTGTCCGGAGTAGTAGCTGCCGGCTGGTGAAGGGATGCGGCAAGTAGCTGTAGTTCCACGGCCTCGGCAGCTGTTTTACCAAGTGTCATTAGGTTAGTCCCGTACAAGGGATTGGCTGGATCGTCCACCAGCATAAGGGGATACGATGGTGGGGCAATACTACCGATGTTGTTTGTTGGCCATAAGCTCTCTGCGAGCGGAGAGGCAAACTCTGTTGGCAAAGGATTTGCGTTGAACTGACATATATTCATGTCTCGTAGATAGAGCTGCAGATGCCCCGTTTCGGTGCCGAACACCAATCCATTTGCACTGAAAATAATGACGGTAGGCGTTAGAAAGTAAGGCTAACCGAGAAATGTAGTCTTGAGCTATGTTTCCACACCCGAACATCATAGAGCCCACAAAAAACCGAACAGCAGTGGTCACTGATACAGAGCTGTCTTAGCTGAAAACAAATACAGATAGCCCAGAGCTAGAGAAAGCAATACTAAGCATCACCACTGATGAACATCATAGTTTGGTATTTCCATGCGTGCGTGGACATTTGGTAAATTAAAGGGTCTGTAGTTAGATTAGACGCTTTTATGTGTAAATTAAGTACTCCATCTCCATAATGAATTCCTTGGGTGCTCATTTTTAAACGGCACTTTTATGTGGCTGACGACCTTTCTACACTTGCCAACGCTAATGGCCAAAAAATGCACATAGGCATATTCCTACGTCCCCAAATTCTATCGGTGCTTGCTTAGAACAATATATCAGTGGTGGTTTCATAACAATTGTGTTCGCGAACGGATATTAGGTTTTATTTGAATAACTGGGTTTGATAGGGAACACACAAGTACACCAAACTGGCTCACTTGTGCGAAATGTCCAGTGCAACCAACCGGTCGTAGCTCGGCCACAATTGACCGATATCGTTGGGAGAGAGTACACGTGTGCCCCATTGAATCGTCTGGAAGCCGCCTGCTTGTGAAGCAGCCAGTAACCGATCCGTACATCCCGGGAAAAACCGAGCGAAACACGGATCCAGCGAGGCAGAAAGGGGAACCTGAGCACGCCCAGAGCGGAGATCGTAGACCTGAATGGCAGAGAGAAAGGTACGCCGATCGATAAACGAATAAGCGATTCGTCAGTAGTAATTGTCTATCCGGGAGTGGTGTAGATGTAATAGGTGAGACCTTGAAAACTACTAACATGCAAGAATAATTTAAATGAGGTAAAAGTCACGATTCAGTGAAAAAAAAGCTACCATTATCATACGACGTTTGTGAAATTAACATAGCCTACTGGTCTGCATGAAGACATCACTGATTGCAATCAGTGATTCAAGACAACCAAACTGACAGTATTTGGCGGTTTGGCATAAAACTGAAGAGGTTCAATGAAGCAAAGCAAATCACTCTCACTTTCAAAAGCCTGTCCATACGCAAACCCGAATCCTGCAGCCGAGACCAACCGCATGTTACTAGGGTGTAGCCGTGTGGGACTACTGTGATGTCCGAAATCTCACCCGTGTGCGCGTCTAGTTCACGAACAATACCGTTTGGTGTTCGAGCGTCGATTACCATTACCTGTTCCATAAGAGAGAGAGGACAAAAGTTCACCAGATTAATCAATCTTAATGTACCCAGGAAGTAAAATAGTGTGTGGTAATTTCCCAACATTGACGCCATGCAGAATATAAGAGCCAAATGGCACACGATCGGAGCACCGTTAAACCAGAACAGAAATGGTGCGTGTGAATAGCAAGGAGAATTGTAGAAGGAAATATCCTAAATGCAGTTGACATGGGACATGCGCTTCCAAGTGTAATGGCGCACCCGACAACATAAATAGCCCTAGCGAGGATGCTGGATCCAAACGCAGTCCTTTGGAGAACAGACGCATCGAAGAATTTTCATTAGAGTTGATCCGATTATCTGACAGCGTTTCAAGGAAGCGAAAACAAGGCCTGGGGTATAGACGTAACACATTACTTACAAGGCTGCTGAAGACTTTTCCACAGCCCACGACCGGTTTCGTCCTTCTTGGGGCTCAACAGGTAAGAGCAGTCCCCGAGTTTCCCTCAACCCCGATTGCACCAAATTAGCGAAATACACTCATTTTCATACCAATTTGGTTTTGACCGGAGACTCACCTGGAAACCAACTGAATCTCTCGTTTATGTTGCTTTTTATTTCGAAACCCGAGGTGGTTTGGTGCAGTACATTCAATGGCTTAAAAACCTCATAAACGATAGAATCAGCTGGGTTCCAGGTGAGTCTCCCATCGAAACCAGATGAGTGTATTTCGCCAAGGCCTGAGGTACCTTTTGGCTTACTGAGCTGCCGGTGAAATTCGACCACTGATGTCGGAAAACGACACCGAATTCCGGGCTACATTGTCTTCGTGGAGTTGAGAGCAATCCTTTCGACGTCTTTTATCACGCCTGACCAAACGCTGTTCGGAGGTATTCAGTAGTGATAATAGTCGTGAGCATAATATGTTATTAGTCGAGATGAATACAAATAGAGTGACTGTTGACGAGCTAAGGCAAGGGAGGACCTGAAGTTCAATGTTTCCTTATATTGGACTAATCATACTAACTAGAGGATGTGGGAATAACTAATAAAAAATTCGTTATAATGACTGAGCCACAAGTAAACACTTCCATCAATTGCACATGAAATCTGAAAGCTGAAAAAGTTTTCTCTAGGTCAGATATATCGATATCATATATCACAGTCATTCAGCCGGAAAACAAAGGCACGTACTTTCCCATTCGTGGTTCCGGCACACATTCCGGAGCTGAAAGATCTGAGAACGACAGAACCGCCAAGACCAACGTCTATGGTGCGAATCACTTCACCCCATCGATCCAAAGCATCGAGCTCTAGTATGTTTGGCTGCAACCCTCCAAGAAATATACGGCAAAACTCAGCCTCGTTTGCAGTTCCCCATACGCCGCCACCCATACCCAAGCCGGGGGTTGCGCCAGTCGGGCCGGTGACAGTTAGACACTCCAGATCGACCATCAATTTATTACTGCAATGATGTATCCGAATAGAATCGAGGACCAGATCCGGAAAATATGTCAGTTAGAAGTGCGAAGAGGACGAGGACAACGAATAACGCATGGATAAAAATCATAACCGCGAGCCTAATTAAGCACACAGCTAACACAGAAAGCGGACACACCATTAACACATAGTACGCACCAAAACTTCATCCACAGACAGTTGAATATATTAGAATGCTACTTGATAGAACACTACCCATCAGGTTCCTTGAAACGCTTCGACAGCCCGTTCTTCGTTCTTGGGACTCATTAGGCAGTCCCTGGGTTTCCGTCGACCTTATGTTCGACTTTAACTGAAATTGGAAGCCGTTCGCGACATACATTCACTTGTAGTTTGGTCCTAACGGGATGATCAACTGAGTCCCAACTGCATTTCTCGTTTTTAAACAATAAAAATATGAAAACGATTCAGCTGCAACCTTCTTTTGGTGCCTGGCTGCCATGCCATCGTAGGACGCACGATGCCTTGGATACTGCTAGGTTTCCTAAGTTTAGTTAGGAGCAGCTGAAATGCCGGGTTTCAGCTTTGCATGGATTCCCCCGGCCAGTAACTCGCCCCCTAAAAACCGAGCTATCTCAAGATCTAGCCATTTCTCGTTTAGAATATTTTTCAACTCACTGCCAGAGGCTGTCTCCCAATTTAATGGATACGATACTCACGAATTTTGTAGGTTCAAGTAGAACATAAGGCTAACGACGACACCTAGCTGATAAGCCCAAAAAAGGCGAAGTTGTTCGTGAGCCTCATCTTCATCAACTTTATGAGTAGTATTCCATCACGAAAATATACTGCAGTATCTCGAATTCCGCACCAACTGGAACACGAAGCGGTCTTCGCTCAGCACAGTTAGTCGAAGAATATCGTAAACGAGGAATTCTGCTAGGATGCGGTTGACCCTTCCGCTAAAACCAAATTGTTGTGCAAATGAATGTATTTTGCGAATGCGCCTTTTCAATTTTATACGGTAATAATTTTGACGCCTACAAGTTTTTGTTGTTGTGTGCTTCAAGCAGGTGAAAAATGACTCAAGTTGTGTTACACAAGCTTTAATAAACAGGGTGGAAAACACAAAATCCTTTAGGGGGGTTCCTCCTCGATAATGGAAAGAAACGGAGTTGACAGTGATCTCCAAATGCATAACAGATTCAGACTACAATATGCTAACAAACCGTTACAAGTAGTATCTTGAACGAATTCTGATCAATGATTGAGATGAAAATTGCACCAGAATACAATGGAGCTTCCTTCACTGATCAGCGAACGGAGAAAATTGCCTGATGATTAGCGTCAGGCTGAAAAGAGTTCCAAACGTTTACTCTCCCAAGAACGTGCAACATATGTGGAGAATAAAAATAGTCGAAACGAAAAAGAACGGTCATAAAGGGCCAACTTATGAGTAGCACCATAGTAGCGTGAGAAACCGAAACTGAGGCACTACTGGAGCAGAATACTTCGGCAAGTGTAACTCGAACAATGCTAATAAGTCAGTCCGTAGTCCTTTACGTATCTGAATAGACTTGCAAAAATAATTTCCTCCTCGACAAACGCGACAAAAGGAACATGCTAACGGTACTGGTTGTCATTTCTTCAAATCCTGGTTCGGTCGTGTACCAATTTTCCTTCTGCCTTGTAAGGCTGGTGTTCAGTCACGAGCCATGAGATTAGCTCTCAAAGCTGACGACGACGCCTTGCACTGGTTTCGTCCCCTTCGTCAAGTTTCACGTTTGTGGCTTACATGTCAAGACAACGAAGCAGTGGCACACATCCTTTGTATAGGGGTAAACCCGGACACAACTGAAACGCGCGTTGAATACTTGTGGACATATTCCAGGAGCCCGTTTTGTTCACACATTCGACATTTCGACCACATAAAAGATTTATCACTCTAGGTGGTTAGATAAAGTGACATCGGTACAACACTTTAACCAGCGAGAACACCACATATGATGACAACAACAGCATACGACTCGACCCAGACTTGAACTGCATCATCACAATTTCATATCCGGATGACGAGAAAGCACACGGGTGTGCCCCGTAAACGAGGCCAACATAAGAAAATAGGGATCCAGCCTCTTTGATAAGATTCTCCACTAAATTGTAACTAAACAGCGCTGTTTAGAGCGCCCCCAGAACAGTGGTCTTCCTTCAAATGAATCCCTCTTTGGGGCTGGTGATGTGGCGCACCTTAATTACCTAAAATAGTTGAACAGAAGTGTGAACACTATGTTCGAAGTTAGGCAACTCACACAGCGCAGGTAATGGGACGGCCGAATTTTGTATAGGCATGGAGTGCATTGCTGGCGAGCATGTACACAGCATGCTCAGGTGGACGCGGTGATGGGTAAATTTGCTTTAGTTCGCCCAGATGACTCCCACCTTCATCCATGTACGTGTTTGATAGAAGTGGTATGTTTGTGGTGATGTACCGCTCGAGAGACACAGAAAAGAACGCAGTCAGCTGTCCCTTGAATGAAAACAGAAATACCATGATAATATAGTAAGATACACTGGTAGATAAAAACATGTCAAACTGCCCCAAGTTCAAAGCCAATAGCTGTAAAAAAAACGGGTTTTACAACTCACAAAGTGGAGGAATAATCATGTCGACCGGTCAAAGAGGACACGAAACGATGTGTATTGCAGTAAAAGTCACGCAAAGGGTGACATCAAGTTGTCTTTCGAACAAATAGACGGACCTTTGATAGACTGATTGGACGGCCTCAGAAAGGTTAAATAAGATCGCGACACGCAAACTCGTGGCGCTTAGTTAATGCTGCGATAGTGGCAAATCGACAGGTTGATGTTAAAGGCAATCTGACTATTGATAGCTGTGGTGGTTTTCACAGCCTTTTTGTTCGACACTAAAAATATGCTGGCACGCTAAAAACTAAACTACGTTCGCCGTACGCAACAATACGACACACTCGCCTCAGTGTTAAAAACCAGAATGGAAACGGAAGCTGACGGTTTCTGGACATTACGGCAATGTCCATGCGGTCCCACGCACAGTAGCTTGCTTGGTGAAAAATCGGCAGCACTAAGGTGCATACATGCAGTACATTCTGGAAATAGGGTTACAAAGTGGAGAAAAACATATTGATGAGTGCCCTTTTCGTGCACATGGTGCATCCATGACCTCACAACAGAACGGGACTATTAGGGTAGTGCATGGGGGGGGGGGGGGGAAATCACCAAAAAACACATGGTGCATCCATGACCTCACAACAGAACGGGACTATTAGGGTAGTAGGGGGGGGGGGGTAACTTAGCAAAAAACCCTTTTGTCCCCAATATCTAGATGGACGAGCTTCTGAAGGGAAAACTACAAGCAGTAACTAAGTGGAAACAAAAGAAAGTGAATCCGCAGTGGTCTGTGTAATGATTTTGCCAGTTGATGCCAATACCGAATGATATCAATCAGCTGTAACGTACCGTAGTGCATTCAACATTTCGTTGCAACCTACGAACCCGATAAGGTATCAGGGACACGTGGTATTCGTAGGTAATAAAACATCGAACAATTCGATTTAGCTCAAAGAATCGTACCCATTCGCCCTAAATTTTTAAGTCACAGTCCAGCTATAAACTCAATAGAGGATGTGTTGGGAACAGTTGAGGAAACGTGTTGTGAAGATCTCATATATCATACCGTTACTCAACTGAATGCGGCTGTAGTATACGAAAAGCAGAAAGGTGAAGTTTGTGCTAGAAAAAACCAACACAAGCATATCCATTGAATTTGGGGACAGTCGAATCCAGTTCAATTCAGACAATCGAAATTTGGTGGAGGTTTCATCCTTCGTAATTAGAATCTAATCAATTAGATGCCTCTGAGAGGATGAACAAAGGTAACGTAAATCATGTGGCAGATAAACAACCGATCGATGGGTTGGGCATACGTAAATTAATTAGCCGAACACATACTTAGTGATTTAGGCACAGATTCATTGCAACCATTGAATAACCACACAGCTATTCCATAACGAAGCGAATTGTAGAGCAAGTAGAGAATAATGAAAAGCGAGCTTAACAACGGCTGAGTACCCGAATAAACAGCTTTGAGCTGTATTAACTTGATGCGAAAGCACAAGCATAGTATCACTTAAAATCGATTTCCATACCCGAGTTCACAGAACCAGATGTAAGCAGCATGCAGTCAAAAATGAGTGTACGTCTCTAATTAGGCTTATAAAAAAGATTAAACCGAGGAATCTGTTTGAACAGTTGTTCATACCTGATCAACGTCCACCATAAATGATCACACATCTTTCTCTGTTACAGCTTTACCCATTGAAACCAATTAGTAGCCTTCCAAGTTTTTTCACATTAATTCACATGGCTCTGACAATTCACATTTCAGTAACTGTTAAGACGGAATGCTCTTGACCTGATCTACCCTATTCTTAGTGGACTGGTATGCACATGAAAATCGGGTTTCACGCCTATACAAAGGTGGGAAGATCTTTCTAGTCGTTAAATTAAATTAACAATCTTGACAGTTACCTTCTGAGACCCCGTACCGGCCAAAATTGATCATCTAGACAAATTGGACAGCTTCGCTGTGGAACCTTAGGTACCCTATTCATTCGTCTCTAGACCTGAACTCTGTCCTTTCAGAGACCTAAACTGCCAGATCAAATCCCACGAGTGATTGTTCACTGAAGCACGGGCAAAGACGGAGACAACTAGCGCACAGTAGTTCGGATAGCTGTACGAAGGATGAGGTAATACGGGTTTCACGTCCAATTACGTAAGCACTCGAGCTGGAGATAGCTCAGCGGTCAAAACAAAAAGCTAGCGGCCGAAAGCTCCGTGGTTCGAACTCAACTCCCGCTTTTCCATTGCTCCTGTCTAGGCTTGGAAAACCTGGTAGTAATTTAGCCCGAGAATCCTTCGAGCCACACGGTAGATATGCAACAAAAGGGTGCCAAAACCGAAATTTTTATTTTGTTCGTTTGTGGAAATACTTCACGATACACTGCACGTCATCGGTTTTCTAGGTAGCTAGTAAAACTAGAGAGCACAACGTGCAAATAAGCTGGATTGAAAAGATCGACCAAATCATAGGGTGAATATACTTTGCCAGGCTATCTGGCGTGAAAGATAAAAGACGACCTTCAGCGACGTAGAGCCCTGTATAGATTGAACATACGACAATAAAGTACAACCAACTATCAGGTGTATTCTCAGGGTGAACAGTTAACGCACATTTATCCGGGGGAATCGCGTGGTGCGATGTAGAAGCTACTCATAACTGATGTGACTACAGTCTGAAAATATGACTTTGGTATGGCGCTCCCGACCATTTCCCTCGAAGAGTTCGCTCATTGGACAAATTCCTACAAAACTCCGAACTGACGAGTTCAAACACCCCATTCAGAGAGTACGGGATTTTCTAGCCCACGGGCATATTTCCTACCGAAGAAAACGAATACCTTTCAGCTTCGTTGTTGGCACTAACAGGAGTAGGCTACGAAGCTTTCGGGAAAGTGTCACAGATGTGAATATCATAAGATCGTCAGTAAAATTGAATCGGTAAGCTTAGAACACCAAAATCAACCAGTGCAAAGCAAAATGTGTTTCAGTCCACGTGTCTTATTACTAGCACGATTGCGAAAAAGCCACATATCTAGTGTATGTATTATATGTAGTGAATCGATAAAAAAAATCATTCAGCTGTAGCACCATTTCGGTGCCTAGCTGCCATGCCAGACGAAAGAGGTACGAGGGCTAGGATACTGCCAGTTTGCCCAAGCCTAGACAGGGGAAGTCAAAAGGCAGAGGTCGGGTTCAAACCAGGGACCTTCCGGTCAGTAAATTCGCACTCTAATCAGTTGAGCCATCTCACCCCTATAGTGAATCGATATGAACCTACCTAATCACACCTTGAGCATCTTGAACAAAGTCATTACGAAAAAGTCATTATGACATACCATTCTGGTGATGCACCAAACCAATTCCTCAAGTGGATCGAATGCAACATCAGCCACGTTATCTGATGGGAAAACACCATTCATTATTTGAGTACCGGTAAGCCAATACCCCCCAGTTTGATATATATCAGTAGTTGGAATTTCCGTTGGATAACCAGATTCATGGGCAATACCGAGGTGACCTTCTGCTGATTCCATATCACTGGGATAGGACAAATGTTGGGCAGAATTATCTGGTAAATATGCCATGAGGGAATGGCGTCAATTTCCCACGGTAAGAAGGCTGAAACAGAATGACTAATCAGAAATCGACTGCAAAAAAGTCGGAAAGTTAGCAATAGTATGAAGCTGCTACACCAGCAGAGTAACCATACCATCTATAAAAACAAGTGATGAGTGCACACGTCGTTGCTCTACTAGTTACTTTTTAGCGTACGCTAAATACATCTAATCAACTACCATGGACCCTTGGTGAAACCAAATGGATGTGCTTTGATGTCGGGAGGGCGGAGTACGCCATAATGACCTGTCTATCAGTCTCAGTGATTGGATTGGATCCAATAACTGGATTGGAGAAGCGTCTCCAGGGTTATTCACTCCCTTTCTAGAATCCGAACAATCTGTCTCTGTTTTGCCTCCCCAGACTGCTTTATATTTACCAAAGGTTTCCTGCTTTCGGTTTCCAGAGGCATTCACGATTGTGTTGGCGGTACGCTCTGAATCTCAAACGCGACTCTCCTCACGGACCGGTCTAATCTCTGATAAATATAGAGACCTCGCACAACCGTTAGTATCCTGAAACCATACTTGAGAAACATCTAAGATTGCAGTTGATTGCACAAGGATAAACTCGGTCTTCTAAATCAGCACTGCATACTAAACTCGTTCTACCCTTATTCAGTCAGAAGCTAATTCCCAGAATTTACACTCAGCAACGCCTAAATCATAACAAATTCGGAGTGTTCTTGAGGTAAAAGATCAAGACTATATCGTGTAAGACTCGGAATGCAAACAATTTAAAATACGGAATACAGAAAAACGAAGTATATTGGAGGATAACTTTATTTGTCTGCAAATCTCGATTTCTATACGAATATGGACAATTTGTTAGTCATTCAAAAGTCAATGTCAGACTTATCCGTTCGGGAAGCAGCGACGCACGAAAGGATAGGTTCATTTGCATTGGAACGGGAGGCAGATTCGGATAAACAGGGAGGCAAGTGAAGGTACTGTAGAAGAAAGAGGAAGGGAAGAAGAAAACATATCAAAAGTAGCGACCACGATGGTAGACGTGGATCTTTCAAGAGCCGAATGGAGTATACGGAGAAGTGGCGGACTACGAAAGCCCAGGAGATGGAGCAACCACTAACGGTAGGAAAATGCCGCACTCTACGTTATCTGATTCTATCGGCTGACTAAAAAGTACGAGTCGTAGAAACGATTCGCAGAAAGAATGTATCTGTAATTCGCCATCAGAATGTTGAACGACGGGCTGAAGACAACGAACAGTTTCGCTGGATTCCCTAAACACAAACTCTCAAGGGACTCAGTGGAACTTGAACGAAGCCATCGCCTTCAATCTTCAACTGTCTAGATTCCCATTCCTTCAGGTAACTTTAACGATTCAGTGTAATTAACGAATTAAGGTGTCACCACCAATCCCCCTTAATCCCGTTTTCTGGTCATCAAAATTGTGGCAGCTGCATCGAGGTAACCCTCGTGCATGGCTTAGAGATAAATAGCTGCTTTTGCCAGCAAACGTACTTTCTTAACACACTATGGGCTGATCTAATCTCGCACAAAGTTAACTGGTTCGACATGTTTTGGTCGACGACATCTCACTTCAACGAGAGATTGGACGAAACTAACATCTAAGTACATACCGTGATGGTTTTGATTAGAAAGCCTTTGAAGCATCTACAGTGTTGACGTGTACAAAAAACCTGTCACAAATAAATCATGCTTGAGCAGACTACACTGACTCAACGGATAAAAAACCTGCGCAAACTTTATCTCGTGCTCTCGTTATGTAATTGCACGGTAGACTATGAAGTGTGGACCACATGTATACACACACATCCCCTTGGTACGTCTGGAAGGCCTTGAACCCTGCCCTCTGGTCGGTGGTGAATCTGATTCCAAGGAACGAAATTCAGAGTCCCCTGAACAAGTCACACTTATGCAACTTGCAACGAAGAGAACTGCGAGTAGTGTCGCTCCATCGTTTTGAAAGTGTAGTGAACAGAATAATGGCAAGGAAAGTGCCTTTACAGTGCCTCTTGCAAACACAAGACAGTATTCCAATGCGAATGGGTATCGACTTTCGACGGCGTGCCATATAACCAAAACAAAGCCGACGAACGTATCGACTATTGCACTGAAAAGGTGCGTACTCACCTGCACAGTGAACTGCCGCCGTTTGACTTTGAAGGCCCATTCGAGGGCTGTTGGTTTCCCCACCGGCTCCAACCCACCACCTATCCAGGGAAGCTGGATGACATTCATCAAACCATTATACTCTTCATAAAGTGGATTCTTTGCTTCCACGCTGTCGAATCCAGTGACTGAAAATACATAGTCTGCATAGTGACGCAGGCGGCAGAGGAGGCTAGGTTGCTAGAGGAACGAAATCAAAAATTGCATACGATACAAGTATTTGTAGCGAAGGAAACAAAGGTGAAAAGACTGGGATCGGTATTCAAAGCTGGAAACATCACACTGTCCTACAATCAGCCTATCCACGGCACTGTAGGAAGAACAAGAGCGCTGCATTCTCCAGAACCTGTGCTATCTACTCGGTGGGTTATCCGAGCAGCACGCGGCTAGACTTGGCGACCCTGACTTGCAAAGACGAGTAGTTAAACCATTCATGGAGTCAAATCTTACGGGGGATTTCGTGTGGTTGCGGCGATCGTATCTAGGTACACGCTTTTGAAAGATGTGCCAAAAGGCTTAGGAAAGCATGGAATCCTAATGGAAACTGATGACATTCACAGGCAGATTCAGGGAACTGAGGTGGATGTCCCAAGCAACCTTCGGTACTCACCTTGACCTTCGAAAGCAGGACGCTGGACCCAGAGGGATCAAAGGCCAAATTGGAGTGGTCTTTAGTATTTCGATAGCTTCAGAGTGTGTGCCTCAATTAGGCGCTGTAGAGCAAGTTTTTTATACAATATCCCAGCCATGGCAAGAAGTTCAAAGGCCGCTTATCTGGGACTTTGTTTGGAGAATAATTAAACCTATTGCAACGTTGTTTAATCGCTCCGAGACAAATGGAATACACATATTCCTACAATGATATTCTATCAATTGAGGAAAAAATTCTCATGTGGTGACCATCATAAATATTACCAACACTAGCTTCAAGCATTGGTGCTTCTCAAGTGTAACACGAAAGCCGCAGGGGCATAAAGAGGACAATCCACTTTTTCACCCGATCTTGATGAGTACCTTCTGCAGAGGACTGCAGATCGTACATTACTGAAGATAACGGACAGCTGAAAGTTATCCGGCGTTAGAAACACCGAAGCCTCTATCCTCAGAAAGGCTTGATCAGAACATCATTGGAGGCACGCGCAATAAGGCTGTGCGTTGCGAAATGACTACGGAGTCTAAGCCCCTTACCTAAGACGGATTTACTTGACAGCGGGTAGTTCCTAATAAAGATAGTAACCTGGAAACTGTTTAAGCTTAACATGGTAGCATTTCGTGTTGTCGACCAATGAATGTTTGAACAAATGTGTCTCTATGTGTCGATATAGCTGCTAAAATAGCCGCAGTAAAACGCTCTAGACAACCAGGAAACAGAAGCCGAAGAAAGGAATTATGGGATGCCATTTCGTTAGATTTCCCAAGCTTCAAGCAATGTTCTCTCCTAAGTTGATTCGACGCACGACAGCATCGTAACCCAATAAGGTCTTTGGAACTGGTTAAGACACTTTGATTTCACCAACACCTGAAAACGGTAACATTTAAGTCAGTAACAGTAGTAAGAGAAATCATTTAGCGTCTGACACGTCTGTAGCCGAAAGATACGTACTTGACCGACCCAGTGAGAGAGTAGTTCATCATGACTGATGATACGTTATGTTTGCGTTGAATGCCATAAATAGGCTTAATATTGCACACCATATGTTCCACTGACTATTTTGCTGTTTTTGACCCATAGGCCATACTGCCACTTGGGGGTTAAGTGGCCTGGCGGAGCGCCAATAAGCTAGGAGCCTGTTCACAACATCCACCCAGAAATAAAATTAGAGGACTACGGAATACGCGTCACATCCACCAATGATTTCTGAAGTGAAACTACCTTAGGCTAGCCGATACTGAGTGTCAGTGCAACAGAGACACGAAATTCAAAGGAGTGTTTCTTCGAAAGACTCAAGTAAAGATGTAAAGTAGCAGGGCCACTCCAGGACACCATTTTACCTGATGTGTAGTCAGTTACGAATTGTCGGTTAGTCCGTTATGAAAAACGCAGCAGTCCTTTCAGTTAGTGTCACTCGCCAAACACTTAATTGCGGACGAGATACCCGAAGGCTGGAGTGGGGTATCCATAAGCTGCGGATATATAAACAATTGTTTTAAGAATAAGCCGTACAGGATGTGCTTTGATAAATCACAACAACAGTCGTATACTCCAAGAGCGCTGAATGCAACGGTTCACAAATCGGACAATAGGGTTCAAGTTATTAATTCAAAGTGTTGATACTGTGGTGGTCAGGCGAAGATGCTTAGGGCGGTTCGAATTATCAGTGAATACAGAGCGACAGTGTGTGCCGCTAGAAACCAAAAACTACTCGAGGTGTATGCAGATATTGCCGTCAATGATCAAGCGTAAACCATGTAAACAAAATCAACAGTAAACTAAAGTTCCCTGACCCATCCATAACTGGTCAAACGTACACATGCATTTCCCTCAACCAGAAGCAAAAAGACAAGACAAGCTCTATTACATAGGTGTTATGCGGTAGAACCTGGATAAACGTAGTAACATAATTGTTAGGACAACATACCAGCGGTGGTAGAGTTATAAGCGCAACCTGGAGGGTATTTTGCATCAAAAGACGAAGTGAGGCGAAAAACTGAAGGGCCAATCGATCAAAGAGGCAGGAACCAGAGCAGAATCCCCATGTGGTCGAGAGGAGATTGCTTAGTACTTGAATCAAACTAGATTATCGACCAATTGGTCCCAATCTTACCGATCCGTTGTACACTTCCAGATTTTCCAGATGAAAAACTGCGAAGTTCTTTAAGGAGGCGAGTGAGGTTGCCCTGAAGACTATGTGAAGAAGACAGTAAGTCGAAACGGACCAGCTACGGTGACTCAGAGTCCGGTGTGAAATCCTGGAGCAGAATGTTCCAGTCTCTAATGCGGTCTGCCGAGTTCATTCGCTTTGATAAATCAAAATGATGACCAAAATTAGGGACAGACATCCTTGGGCTCTATAAGGAAGTTTATAAGATAGCCGAACGAACCTCATTGTTTCCCACCGTCTTGTAACGCCAAGCAATTCTAAGATCATTTTTATCTGTTGCATTATTTTGGAGCTCCGATTCTTCGGCAACGTCTGGTAGTGTCTATGGGTGCAAATCAGTAAGCATGAACTAATATTCCTACGGAAATCACGCTAGTGAGGCTGTTTTTCGCAGCGTAGAATAAACTATGTCCTGAAGCGACTGATTCCGCAACAAATAATTGAATCAGCTGATTAGTGTATGTCCCATGAAAGTCAGAATCTTCAAAATATTACCACTAATATATGAACACTACCAATAAGGATTATACTGCCTGCAGCAACACCGCCACCTTTAAAATCTGATCACAGATGAGTCATGGACAAACCAATGAGGACGTCTAGAGTAGGTATACCGGTTGACGTAAAAAACGCTGAATATTTTGCAGAAAATTTGCCTCCGGTAGCAGCGCGGGGGGTGACACAACCCGGAAAGGACATTTCGCCCGCTGAAAAAAAGATAGGGAATTGTCTGAAACGAACAGCTGACAGGTATGGTTCAGACAAGATAACATGGTTTGATTGCCGGAAAGCGTAGTAAAACACTGCAAGGACACTCTTCGAAAAACAGAAAGCTCATGTAAAGAAGTTAGTGCAGGCACCCTTGAGTTCAAGGTTGGCGGTTCGAACTTAGTCCAGACTGCTCAGTCAACCCTCAGTTTTTGGTACTTATCCTTCATGAGTGGGGACTAGCTTTTTAGAAGAATCTTCACTGAATGTCTACCAATCACGCGATGTTCAGAATCAGAAGGTATTGGGACGGTTGGGTAAAGGCCAGTACGTGTTTACCGGACTTACTATGCCGAATAGGCAGTTTATTATTGTATATGTCTTGAGCTAATCATTTGACTGTTAACTCACGATACGGATTGTATTTAGGCCAAATAGTGCGGCCATCTCTATATCTGATTCCCGCCTGCAACGATCGCCTGCCATTGCACCTCGGTACATTGCTTATTCATCATCACTGATGACTGGCAGCAACGTACCGCTTAGACTGGTGTTATACCAGTGTCACGGACCAATCCTTCAGCCGGGCAAATTTGAGTTGGTGAAAAGAAACCAATGAGGACACATGATAACAGAGCAACCAATGAAACCGTCCGACCGAACAACTAATCGCGATCAAAGGTCATCTCCGGCTAGCAGCACGCATATTAACATGGGGCGAGATGGCTCAAGTGGTTAGAGCGCGAATTTACTGACCGGAAGGTCCGTGGTTCGAACCCGACCTCTGCCACTCGACTTCCCCTGTCTAGGCTTGGGCAACCTGGCAGTATCCCAGCCCTCATGCAACCTTTGGGTGGCATGGCAGTTAGGCACCGAAAGGGTGCTACAGCTGAACGATATTAACATGCACGTAACACTACTCAACGCACTACTACCCACCGCTACGCACCACTACGCTCCCATATAATGCACTGATGATGTCACCTCGATTTGCAATCGAATTGCCCAGCTCAGCGAACAAGCCAACGACCGAGGAAACCCAGTGTACGTGTGGGGGGAATTAAAATTGTTAAATCACAGGAACACTTTTGTTCAAGGCCCTCCATATTTCCCGTGCAAACTTTTAAGTAGTTATTGACTGTGCTGGAAGTACACCCTCGAACAAAAGCCAGATTGAGTTGTTGATGAAATAACAGATATCTGGTTCCGCCATGCTTTTGGCCGATAATGCAAGTTTTGGTCGAATACCGTCCCCGAACCATTCGCACTGTAATCCTTAAGATGAGGTTTGTCGAGCAAGGTTAAAATGGGATGAGAAAATGCTCCTGAATTTTCTTCCAAAAACGTTCTAAGGCCGACGGTACGCCAGTCAAGCTTATCGGTCCCATCTATCTTATCTTTATAGGAACAACCATAATCGGACTTGTTGTTTGGTGTGAAACGCTGAGAGTGGTTGGGCAAATTTGTAAACTTCGGGACGCATCCAGATATGAAAAAGCACAGCAGAGAACGACGCGTCCTCAGGATCATCATCGGTTCCACACGTTCCAGATGACAGATGCGTTGGTGGAGCTTACCATGGCGACCAGCGGAGTAGGTGTGAAGTTGATCCCGGCAGGAACGCCGCCACTGGCTGTACAGAACAAACAAGTGAACGACCGTATTCGGTCCTTTAGTCATCCTATATATTTACGCAGGAGCTCTGTATGTTTGTCCTGGCAATACAGCCGTGTTTAGGGTCCTCTTTCTTCTCCTTATCGCGTATTCTGGCAGCTTTAGTTCAGGCGTAACCAATGGACGGCCACCCACGATACAAGAGTAAAAAATAGGAACCAATGGGAAGTCACCTGAAGAACCGGCAAAGGCATATTACAGAACTCAGTTCGGATGACATTCTTCTCCATAGAAGTACCTGGATACCATTGTCTCATTAAGGCTCTAGTTAAAAAAAAACAAGGGATGACGCCACTACTTTTATTCCCTTTTGTTTCCATCATCGGAGAACTTGAAGGTGACATTCAGCATGACTTCATATGCTTGTAAAAACATTTCAGTCGTACGGAACAGTACAATCTTGTCGTGTGCCTCGTCTTGCAACTGTGTATTACACAGCAGTCCGGTCTCCCTGCGAACAAGAACCCCCTTCTTATAATTCCTTTTGACTACTGAGGATATAGAATGCCTCAACAGGGATCGGAAAATTTTGGCACCACCGGACCTAATACATTCAGACAGGAATCAACGTCTTCCGAAATCAGAGGACGGCAAAAAATTGAGCACTTCTTAACACAGGCACGGCAGGAAGCTAGGACGCTAAATCCAGCTTTCAGGGTAGAACGTTGGCATTCAATTACTGTTAGTCCCACTGTTGGTCCCACACTTAGTGCGCCATGGCACATTCGTACATGCTTCCTTTCTTTCCGCCAACGTTGTCATAACCATAATAATAATAATAATAATAATAATAATAATAATAATAATAATAATAGTAATAATAATAGTAATAATAATCAGAGACAGCAACATCAGCGTTGACAATGACGCTCCACTGCCGTAAAACCACAAAGTTTATCAAATGATATTGAACGCCTTAGTGTGGAAATAAGAGAAAATGGTGGAAAGCAGAAGAACCTAGTGTTAGCACGACACTCTGAGATGCCTACACCAACCCGACCTAAAGCTGCTCATCATTGTATCATCATCATTGTCAGATGTAATAACCGCGTACTCGTCGTACAGTGGTTGTAGCTGCCGCAGTTTCGTTCACCGATGG